GAAAATGGGTTTCGTAAGCGCAAGAAAATTAGATTGTATGTTTGTACCTTACTGTATTGTAGATATGTAGATATTTGATTTTCAAAATTTTCAGACTATCGCATTACGCTGAGAATATCGCCGATTTGAGAAGCAGAATTTTGATTAAAAAAAAAATATTTATTCGAAAAAAACACACCGCACCTAAATAAATATGCCTTGCAGCATTGAATTGCTGTCGAGACTTGAAAAGCAGATCAAAAACCATAAGCACAACAAATATCAACAGAGCGAAAACAAAAAAAAAAAAAAATTTAAAAGAACACGGGAAGATCGAACACCCAACTCCTGGGAAAAGGACACTTGGCGACTGAAGCACACATACACGTGCATATGCATCAAAGGTAAATACATACATACATACCAACGCAGTCAGCGCGGCAGTTCCCACGTTCAAAACGCGCCATCGAATAAGCGCGATCGGTGTTGAGCAGTTTGTTGGCCGTGTTATATCCAAACTGGTGGTGTTGTTGTTGTTGGCCTCTTTTGGTGTTGTTGGAGGACACTATGGCAAATGGCTATGGCAGTGTGTGTGTTTTTTTTTTGTATTTTGTGCGCTGATCCTCGACAATACCGAACGAACAACCCAACAGCTATGTGCAGTGTTTTGGAAAGACCGCGCTCTGATAGATATGTACATAGGCAGTCAGTCCATCAGTGATAAAGCCAGACAGTGCTGCGCGTCAATGTGACGGCCAATATTTTAGACAGTCATGCACTCAAGGCAATTTCGGTTTAATGCGCGTAGTTGTTGCCTCCGTCGATCCGCATGCGCAACACTCTCATCAATTTGAATTGGATATTTACGTACGCATGCGCATACATACGGGTAACTTATTTATATGTGTTTATATAATAAAATATACTCTAATGGCGTTTTCATGCGTAAATACATATAACGGAATCATCATTTTGCAGAACATTCACAGGATATTTGATAGTTAGCGGTGCTTTCATAATTTTGTTGATTACGTACATCTCTCATAAATTCATATTTTTATGAGCGCGAAGGTAAAATTTTAGATGTACATACAAGCATGCATTCTTATCTATCTATGAGAAAGACCTTTCGCCTTTGTGAATGTCAGCGGTCGTTTCGCTCATCAGTTGATGGGACTGCGCGCCTGCGTCCGCTCGACTCATTTGAATATTTTACCTTGCTGTTGTCATCGGGACATGTAAGACATTCATTCGGCTGCTCCTGCGTGCTGCGTGCATTACTTAGCATTTATCGCATGAAGGCGACGAGCGTTTCACTGTCATCCGGCATTACACTTTATAATGTCAGCTACTATTACTCCCTTTTGGTGCTTAGGCGGCCAGCGCTGCCATATGGTTTTGCATGCTTGGACGCATACGAAGATTATAATGATCCGAGGAAGACAGCAGGGTAAAAGTGAGAAAAAACGTTTTTCTTTTTTTTTGAAAACCGTTGGACAAAAATATTCACTCATACATATGCATGTAAGTGTTTTCTTACATAAATTTACTTATTTGGGACATTACTGTTAGTGCAAAGCTGCTTTGCTTTCAAATATATATGTATAGGTACATGGCTACATACATTTGAATGTATATCCTGTTCGCCGCTTAATGACTGCCTCCCTGCAGGACCCTGGTACGTTTACTTTGTTCTCATAATTTGCTTTGCATAAAATGTCTACGAATTTCCATAAGCCACCAACAAATGTTACCAACCCATAGATATACATATATATGTATGTACATACATCGTATAAAAATTTAGCTTCGTTCATTAATTTTATTGCTGTTGCATGTTGTTGTTCCATTAATGATTGTTGCCTAATAGTTGCAGGTCGTTTCCGGTTTGTCAATGTTTGGCTTGGTTGTGGTTTCATTGTTGTTGTGTTGTCCCGATCGCGGTTCGTGTTTTACCTCCACAACAGCAAATAAAAATGAAAATCAACTTTTTAACGGCTCTTTGCTTTATATATGCATGTGTGTATGTATGTGGAAAGTATGCAGGACTCTCTTAAGTGCTCTTTCTTTATTTTATAGCCTATTCAATTATATTAACCCGATCATTAAGTCTAATATTTGGTTAGATTTATGAAGGAAACCTTCGACTGTAATCCCATTAACTCTTCTAAAGAAAACTAAAGTTATTTTGAAAAGTATGAGCAGATAGGTTATTTGCTTTGTTAGTTGGTTATGGGATAACAAATGTTGGGAATTGGCGGCGGGATTGAATACCGAATTGTATATCGAGTCCTCAAAAAGCACATATTTTAGATGAAACCTCTCTTTTTGCTATCTTTTAGGCTATGTTAAACAGATTAAACTTGCAGTAACTGGTGGAAACTGCAGGATCCCTCATCTTACTTGCTCTTCGCCATCGACGTTAAACAGCTGAACTAGCTCCAGGGATTTGGCTGTTTTCAAGTTGCATTTTTTGTGCACTATAGCTTTTCGCAAGAACCTTCATTCTCACGAATTAAGCCATGTTTGCAATAGTAGAGTCCAATCATGGTAAATCTGCGTTAGGAAAAACAGCAACCCAACAACCAACAGCATCGGGAGTCTAGCGCCCCTAAAGAAACAAGAAAAGTATGCACAAAATACATGCTCGCTTCCAGCCGAGCCTCCTGTGCGCTGAAGTAATAAGATCATCACTCGGAGAACAGCGTCTTGTGAGCTTTCTGGGGATAGATGCAGGACTAGCCTAATTGGACCGGTAGGGCCAATAACTTCACCAAAGTCCCCCACAACCGTACAGCTCGCCAATCAGAAAGGTTCTGCTCTCAATGTAAGACCGCTTTTTGAATTTGACCTTCTTTGAAATTTTTAGCTTTCAATATTCTGGATTGAGACTTCCAGTACGAGGTTATTTTCGTCTTTTCATCGGAGCGAACACATCTCAAGGCTTCTGAATGGAGACACAGGAATCCGGTTTGACGAAGAAGTACCTGGACATAGTCATCCCTGCTCATGTCATTCCTCTCGACCAGCTTATGTATACATGTCCGAAGATTGGATTATCAGTCCTGTCGACGATGCTACGTAAAAGAATTTGACTGGACCTCACAATTGTGGCTACAGACCTGGAATCAATACCATTTGCCTAGCGTTTCAAATCCTTGAAGCACATCGGCCCACGACGACCTTTTCTTCGAGTATAATACTAACTTTGACAGCCCGAAGGGAAGCAGTCTTTACGTCACCCTATCTAAATTTGAAATCATTGAAAAACTAACACAGATGTGTGGGGTGTAGCGAGATCTACATATGACCCTGTTCGACTGGGCGACGGGTTTCCAAAAAAGGTGGAATTTCAAACCATGAGAGCTTTTTAACGACATCGACATGTAAAGTTAGTCAAGCGAACACAATGGTTAAACTACTGACGCAAGTTGTTCGTTGGCTGCGCAAATCGGTAAACGGTTGTAGTACCAATTAAGAAGAGTTTTATCGTCTAACGTAGTCAAACCTTACAATATCTCAGAAGTATTGTCGTATGGTATGTTAACAATTAATTATTATGTGACGGGTCCTAAGAACAACGCTCTACTTACCCAACTGGTTATATGTGGATGTACATTTGTATTTTAATAGTATGGACCGCTACTTACTTGAAAACAGCCAGACGGCCATACTTTCTGGTGAAAAGACGTTGCTATCTTCCGATGGCTTTCGTAAAGAATAAATCTGAACTGTTCAACCAGAACCCAGAAATTCGTGGGTTAATCAGGGTGAACAAATATGAACATACACCTACGTTGAGACTAAGTGTAGGGGCGGACCTTTGAGAGCATGCCTAGAAGAAAAACGATAGGCTAAGGATCATATCAAACTGCCTAATGCCCAACACACATTTAGGTTAGAGAACGATTCGAATTCTTAAGTATTTCTCCGGGGTAGAAGGTTAGAAGACGATTAGAGAACCTAGCGAGATCAACAAAAAAGGGATTTAGTTCTCGATATCGAGAAAAAAGTTAGATATCCAACTGTGGACTAACATTTAATTCTAATTGTTTTCTAAAGTCTAGTGTTTTTCTAATCATTCTCTAATCGAATACTAACATGGTTCCTTAACTTGATTTTCGATTCGAGAACTAAAATTAGAATTCTAATGTAAAATTTCCATAAATGTTTATAGGTGGATGCAAAAGTTTTAGCAATGATAAGTATGATTAAGACGTTTCTGTTGCATTTGCAATGGCCTCACATCCAAACATATTGGGCTTGGATAGCACAGGGCAACACTAATTTTGGTGCAGCAAACGTTAAAGCAATTTTTGATAGATGTTTTTGTGTTAATTAAGAGTCCGAAGATATAAAGTTTCCATGAGCTCCAGAAAAACGTGGTGTAATTGTAAAAAAAAATCATGTAAAAACTTTAAAAGCGAGAAATTAAAAACGAAAATTTTTAAGGCAAGCTTTAATTAGTGATAAATAAAAGAAGAGAAAAATCGACATCCGCACCACCCAACCTGGAAATTTCTACATTTTCTAAAGTTTTTTGTAGTTGCTTGCAAGCAAAAGGTAAAAATAAATATTTTTTGTGATTTTAAAGCTGAATATGTACTAAGATTTACTCGGGCTTGTGAAGATTTTAATTTTAAAATTTCAATAAGAAACTTAAAAATATTTTATCGGTAACTCAAAAGGCACTTGAAAACAGCATTATTCGAAAACTTTCATCAAAATTTAAAGTCTCTATTTATGACTTGAAATTTTTTCGCAACATACGAATTCCATTGAAGTAAAATTTAGATTTTATGAATTTTATCAAATAAGTTTATCCATCTGTAAGTGTATTTTAGTTATAAGGGTTTTTTTTTTAACATTGCGTTATACTGAAAGGCAATAATTAATGTTGTAAAAATATGTTTATTTGAGATTTCATCAGTACAAATATGCAAGTAAAATAATTTAACTATAACTTAACCAAAACCAATTTATTCATATTCACATAAACTTAATGAAATGTCTTACGAAAAACTTATAGTAAATGTTTGTTTTGCTTCGTTTACTGTTTACAACACTACTATTAACTAAAAAAAGGGAAAGTAGTATATTTACAATCAATCGCTTATATTTCAATAAATGCATGTTTTTAAGTATAAAATATATGTACTTCTTATCGTATAACTAACTGGTGCCATTTTCGAAAAATGTAAGCGTCATCAACAATTTTCGCAAGAAATGCGAAATTTTACAAATAGATTTCCCACCCATTCACCCCCATCGTGCCATCAACGTCTGAGCAGTTCCATTTCTACAGCAGCACACCACCACCACCATCTGATTTTGGCGTATGCGCCTCCCACCAATCCAACACCTCGATAATATTCTCGTCGGGCAGCCCGCCTAACGTCTCATTTGCTGCCACAGTTGCGACCGCATCATGCAGAGCGTTGTTGTACTCCTTCTTCAAAATGATATTCGTATTTTCGTAATAAGAATTGTCCGTATCAGTGCCATAGAATGATGGCAGTCCGGTTGTGGTTGGGGTTGTTGCGCCGGTGGGCACAAATACCATCATTGGGGTCGTCGCCACGTTCGTTGGCGTGGCTCGTGAACTGCAACGTTCCGACGGCGGTGACATTGTGGACAACGGCGCGTGGCTAAGTAATAAACGTTCCTGCATTTGTTGTTGGAATAACATTGCGCCGCCCGCAGACAAATTCTTCGCGGATGAAGGCGACACATTCGAGGGAACAAAGTCCGTTAATGTATCATTGAATTCCTGCTTAATCGCGTGCGGCGACTGCAGCGACAACGTTGTAGGGGTTGCCAATGCCACAAACTGTTGTTGGCGGCGGCGTTCGTTTGCATCGTCTTCATTGCCATCGCCATCATCAGCGGTGGCCGTCGTTGTGGCACACGCCTGTAATAAAAGTGTATCATTATCGGCAGGTGATAAGTTGGCTGACCCTTGCGTTGGTGTTTGTGGCTGACACAGTTGTTGCACCCGCTCTTGCTGCTCCCGCTGCTGCTGATGTAATGATGAACGCATCGTTGGGGATGATTGCACTGGCGATCGCGATAATGCGCCGGCAACCGCTACATTTACACATTCTTCTTCGCGTGTCTCCCCATCGGTCGGCGCGGCCGCAGCAGGGTGCCGTTGTAATACGTCCGCCATTGCGGCAGGTGCAGCGTTAATTGATGTTGCAGACAACGACGGCGAAATATGTGGCGATGATGTTGTTGCTGCAGGACTTAGGCAATTAGTGTCGATTAAAGCCTGAAAGGACTCATCATCAAGGCTGGAGTTTGGCGGCGAATGCGGTGCATTGCCCATGAAGAGTGCATTTGGGGTGAGCAGCTGATAGGTGTTGGTGCCCGGTATGCGTATATACTGCATGCCATTGATGGTCGTTAGGTTCGGTAGCAAGTCAAATTCGTAGGCGTCCGTATCAGTCGCGTCGGCGGTCGGTTGTGAGATCGATTGATTGCCAAAGTTTGTGTTATTTAGATACTCCTCCACGTCGTAGTTGCTTAAAGTATCGTCAAAATTTGTGTCGTCGAGCGGCGGCGAAAGCGCATCGAATTCGTCTTTGATGAAAGTGAAGCTGTCATCGCTTGATGAGCCGCCATGCATCAATGATAGGCCACGATCGCTGCCGATGGGGAAATTAAAGCCAAGTAGGCGCTCCAAGCTGCGTATGTACTCGACAGCCATGCGCAGCGTCT